CTGTGGGGCTGGCCACTGCTCCGTGGTAATTCCCGTAGCAGCCTCCAGCACAGTCACGCGGACAGGAAGCACAGCGGTCCAGCGCACGCGTGGCATCCCTCCGGAGTCGGCCTGCAGGCCGCACGCCTGTCGGGCATCCAGGCTCCCCCAGGGCTACCCGGACCTCAGAGGTTGAGTCGCAGTCCTGCAGATGTGGTGAGCGCCTGCTCCTCCCTAGGGCCAGGGCATGGCCGAGGGCCATGCTGGACTGCCTGTCCAGGGCCTCAGTCTCTGGGGTTGAGCAGTAAGTGGTTGTGTTCACCTCGGTCCTTTCCAGGATGACTTGGCAATTTCAGGGGAGGAGTGTTAGCATGCTGAGCTCGTCCTGCGTCACCGCTTATGCATATGGGTGGGGTAAGGTCCTCCAAGAGGGCGTCACCAGGGCTGTCTCATTGGCCACTTTCTCTCTGTTTATGGCTACAGAGCCTTGAGAGACAGCATCGCCTGCAGGTGGAGAGACCCTGGGAGATCCCTGCCTGGTCCAGGCCACAGCGTGTGGAGGCAGAGTTTGCCTTGGAAAGTTTCCTGTAGCATTGCCATGCATGTCTCCTGCAGAGAACTTCACTGGGAAAAGATCAGGTGGGAGTGAACTACCTTTAGAGTCAGGGGATGGGACAAGTCCTTCCCCTTTCTATACATGCAAGGACTCCAAGTGGGCAGCAGGTGGAGGACAGCTCTGGTCGCCCTCGTCTGGATGGGCAGCTGAGCTCCCAGAGCCTGGTGACACTGAGGTCACATGAGGGATCGGTTCATGCAGGGGTGGTAAGAAATCCATGCAGGCTAAATTGCAGTCAAGCACCACAAACGAACCTGCACTTGTATGTATATGTGTGTATTTTGACCAGTGAAGTACTCCAGACATGGCATTAAAGTGTGGCATACACTGTTTCCACTTTCAAAATGATGTCTCACCACTTTTACGATGTCTTGTTTGAATTAACATGATTTAAACATTAGATAACAGAATGCACCAGCTAAAGAGTCCATTGCCTACACCTGTCATTCCCAGGGACTTCTAAGTATGTGTTGTCATCTCGAACTAAGGAAGCTCGGGCCGAGAGTCTAAGGACACAGCCTCCCTGCAGCTCGGAAGAGCTCAGATTTGGTCTCCAGTCTTTGCACTTCCCTCTGTGCCCTGCTGTCCCCGAGGACAGTTCTGTGCAAGGAAAATGCCGGGGCTTTCTCTCTCTCCTTTTCTGGAAGTGCTGGTGGGGCTCATGCCCTGAAGTGGGAAGGAGGGAGAGGGAGAGAAAGAAGAAGTGGAAAATCACAGGATGAAAGACAGGAGGTGACAAGCAAGTGGCAAAAGTCACAGAGGAAAGCCCTGAGGTTACTTGGTGACATCCCCTCCAGCTGTGGATTGGGCAGGACAGCAGCAGTGCGCTGAGATTTCTGCTTCAGGCCTGGGATGGTTTATTCTCTCTCTCTCTCTCTCTCTCTCTCTCTCTCTCTCTCTCTCTCTCTCTCTCCTTCCTCTTTGTATTTTTTAGGGAACGGTCTACAGGGTGTTCAGGGTCTTACTACTAGATCGAACTCAGAATGATACACCTGTTTACAGCCTCCCAAGAGCTGGGATTACTTTTTGGTGGTCACGGAAGGTGTAAGTGTGAGTGTTGATCAGAAGCAGACGCTGTCCCCAGGAGGTTCAAGTCCTGTCCACATGTGAGCGATGGGAACAGAATGACAAGGTCTGTCACAGGGGCGCAGCTCAGGGCCTGCTGGAAAGGGAGATGGAGCCCTCAGGTGACCCAGAGAGGGCCAGGGCCGGGGAGGATGAGGAGCAGTCAGAGGCAGCGAAAGGGTCCTCTTTTAGGTGCTGGCCCCCCGGCAGAGGCAGGGTCCTGGGAGTGTAGCGAGTCTTGTACTCCAAGGAAAGAGCCGGCAGAGATCCGGGCTTGCCAGTGTGGGGCTGCGCACTCGGCTGCTTACTTTATAGATTTGCGTCTTTGCTTTGAGTGTCTTCAGATGTTGATCAGTGTCTGCCTTGAAAACCCCAATATTCCAGGACAGCCTCCTGGGCCACCACAGGGCTAACCTGGGTGCTTCAGGTCCCTGGTACTCTCCCAAATAGTGGCCCGCAAAGCCCGCTTCCTCCATCTAGAAATCTTTTCCCAGCTAAGGGGGACCCGGGGCTGCGGGTGTCTCAGAGCAAGGATGTGGGCTAGAAGACCCAGAAGCTGATACAGAGCCTGGTCTTGCAAAGCAAAAATAAAGAGCAGATTGACACAAAGAAGCAGGAGACAGAGCTTCTGTAAATGGGAGTGGGTTCCAGAGACGGGGAGTGGGGAGGGGAGGGGCTGTGAAAGTTGTGTGCGTGCCAAACACCCGCAAGGGGGCGGGGAGAGACCCTGCACGCTGTGAACACGAACTAATAATGATAATTAATAACCAGAAAAGTGGATCTGGATACGGGGGAGGGGGTAGGGAGGGGAAGCGGATAAAAAGTCAAGATACGTCAAGCTCACGCCCGAGGATGAATGCAGTAGTGTGCACTAACCGAATACTAAAACAGGATTTGGAGATGTAGCTCAGCGGAGAAACACTTGCTGAACACGCTGGGGATCCTGAGTTCAATCCCCAGCACTACCCGGTACAACACCCCAGGGCCCTTCCAGGCTGGGACGGAGCAGGCCGTGGGTCGAGGCGCGCGAGACCTGCAGCTCAGGACCCCGCCCGTGCTTTCCTGCCCAGATTCACTCCGGGAACCTTAAGAAGGCCGGCTGGGAGGAGTGGCTGCGGTCCCAGAGAAGCCCTGGAGCCAGGCAGAGCAGGCTCTGCGGCCCAGCCCTGCGTCCGACTTGAAGGGGAAGCCGCGCGCCCCCTGGCGGCACCACTGGGCAGTTCCGCTCGGCCCACTGGAATAACCTGGACCCGGGATTCCTGCTCTGAGAACCTGACCCTTTGGGATCTACTTTGTATGGATGGAAACGGGGCCTCGGTGCCCCCTCGGCACTCGGGAGAGGCAGCGGGGCTCATCTGCAAACCTGGAGCGGGCCCGAGCCGGCTCCCGGTGTGCCCTTCCCTTGGGTCCGCGGCTGGGCGTCCAGAGCTCCGTGGACTCTCAGGGCGTCTGCGCAGGCAACGCTGCTGTCACACTTTCCACCCCAGACTGAGGCGCACCAGCACCGCGTCAGAGCAAGGGAACAGTTCCCCAGCGCAGGCCCAGTTTCCACCTAAACGTTCACGGCGCCGCGTGGGCACAATGCGGGCCCACTGCGCCCTGTGACCCGCAGACCCCGC